ATCATGGCACACTCACAAACCAGCATGTAAAACAACTTGTCTCACCACTAAGGACAATGACAGAGGTTTGGATACACGTCTTCTGCAAAGGATGTGTAAGCCGCACTGCCGCGCCAAGGCACCTCTTATAGTGCGGTCCTAACTCTAAACTATGAGACTACTTTGAGACTTCCATCTTCCATCTCTAAACTATGAGACTACTATGAGACTTCCATCTTGGAGCACATGGGGGCAGAAGGGTCTTCTGCCCCCATGTGCTCCAAGATGGAGACTCTCATAGTTTAGAGTTAGGACCGCACTATAAGAGGTGCCTTGGCGCGGCAGTGCGGCTTACACATCCTTTGCAGAAGACGTGTATCCAAACCTCTGTCATTGTCCTTAGTGGTGAGACAAGTTGTTTTACATGCTGGTTTGTGAGTGTGCCATGATGCCTTTCTACTGTTCTACTGTTCAAAGCCCATTTTGTGGGCACCTTACTGTATAACTGGTAACAAATTGTTGAGTGCGTTTGTCGTTTGTTTTGCTTTTCCTTCCTGTTGTGCCTCTGAGACAGGATTCACATTAATGACCTTATCTTTATATTTCATTTGGTTGGAGTATTTAGTTTCTTTTGCCGTTTACTGTATTGTGCAGCATGAATCAGCCGACATAAATGTTGCTACTGATTGAATCATGAAGGTCCTTTTAGGGTTCAGTTGCAACTAAGCAACATTGCTAGGCTTGTCAAAAGGATTTTGCAGCATTCAACTTTGTAAAGCCGAAACAGTATTTTTACCATTGAACTGCAAGCTGTCCAGATGACAATAAAAATAATGGAGACATTACGTGGAGCATGAAAGACACTATTAAGGAAAAGTTGGTGCACAGAAGGCAGCAACTGAAGTTTTTTTTTTTCACTGTGGCAAATTTATTCAGTGTGGCAAAGATACAACAAGGTTATCATGACATTGATTTTGGCATGTGCCCATTGACCGCATGAGACTGACTACTGGGGCAATGGCATGGTTATCTGCTCTGAAGAATGTCTGAATCGGTGGTCTCAGGTTTTTCATTTGTTATTTCATAACTCACACACTATACTCTGAATATTGTATGCGTAGATATACAGTATAGCAGAAAGCATTGCTCTGTTATCAGTGTCAAGGTTGGGTAGCTAAAATATTTTTTAGTCCAAAAATAGCTCATGTTGGATTTCTGTGACATCATTGTCCATTAAAAGGACTTATTCATTTTAACTCATGGAGTGCTGGTGACCTATTTCTTCAATCTGGTTTTTTTAACTAACTTTGTGAAATAGATTTCAGGGTGAAACATTTTGTGGCGCTCTCTTGTCTACAAACTCTAGGACACTACTCCAAGGGTCTAGTTTTTACCATGGTGGTGAAGCTATCCATATAAAGTTTTTATGCCAGTTAGGATGCCTACCTATGCTGGGTTCAGCACTCCACCGCCTCATTTACCTAATCAAAGGATAGGTAGCTGTTTGCCATTATTTTTTATTTTTTTTTATTTTGAAGGGTGTGGTGAGGTCACATCAATGTGTTATTCTAGAGCTTCGCTGATGTTTTTCCTATATCAATATGCACCAGTAATAATTTTTTAATATAAGAAGTAAATAATTGGCACCATTTCTACATTTTTATAGAGGACCCTGACCAACACCATTCTGGTGTTATCGATAGCAGACATTGTAATATAATCATAGAATAACACATTTCATCACAACATGAGTAAGTTCCAGTTTGCGGCTAATAGATGTTACAAGATATGAGAGGGTATACATTAGGGAAACCAGAAATCATTGGTATGTCTCTAGTCTTGCCACATCAAAGTTAACTAAAGAAGCCTGAGGTTTGGTAATACTTGTATAAACCATAAAGCTCCCCACATTGATCTTGAATTGTGCTGTAATAATATGGATGTACAGTACTTCTGATACTATTACAGCCTATTTATTATTTTGCTCCACCAGTGACTGCGTTAACTCCAGCTGTTCATAAACACACATTTGGTAACCTGATTTTTTTGTCTGTTTAGATGTAGCAAAAGCTTTAGTTACCTGTATACATGTTACAAAAGGATTATTACTGGCAGTTGCTTACAAAGGGTGGGGCAGTGGAATAGGTCCGCCATGGCTGCAAGCAAAAAAGGGGTGCAATGTCTGTTTTGTAGGCAGTTCAGGCAGATTTATCTTGTTGTCCAATGTTGCTTGCCAAGTCCCAGCACTTTTATTACTTAGTAGACCACCAATGTAAGGGTTAGCTTCTCCACTGACCACCTCTATCGTAAGGGGGCACAACACTGCCCACCAATGTACTGGGGGATTTTCCCACTGACCACTATCACAAGGGGGCACTACACTGCCCACCACTGTAAAGGGGGCAATACACTGGCCACCAGTGTAAGAAGGCACTTCACAACTAATCTAAATTGTAAGGGGGCAATACACGTTGCCACCAATACATGGGGCACTTCCTCACTGGTCTCTATCATAAAGGCACACTACACTGGCCACTAGTGAAAAGTGGCACTTCTCCACTGACCACTTATGTAGGGGAGAACATCTTCTGTGACAACGGGTGTAAGGTAGCATTCTTCTTGCCACTGATAACCAATGTAAGTGGATCTTTATCCCACTAAGCACCAATGCAAGGGGGAATTCTACCCTGATCATCATTTTAAGGATGCCCTTCTCCAACAGACAACCATTGTACAGGAGCACTACACTGACCACCACTGTAAGGGGTCATGTCTCCCATGACCACCAATGTAAGGGGGCACTTCCTTACCGATTACCAAAGTAAGGGGGCAATCTTCTTGCCATTGACTACCAAGGAAAGGAGACACTTCTTTACTAACCACTACTGTAAGGAGGCACTTCTTCCACAGGCCAGCATTGTAATGGGTCACTACACTAGGCCAATACAAACAGAAGAAAAGCTTGCTGCACACCAGCTGGGATAGTTTATTAAAGCTTGAACTGCATCACTGTCCCACTATAGTTCCCTCTTTGACGTGTTTCACCCAATCACAGGCATAGCCGTAGAGCTCTGTAATCAACATTTGAAATTCCATCTTTCTTTACAGTTGTTTTTGGTGGGATTATGATGTCAGGGACACTTGAACGATGTTTTTTTTTTGTGGAGATTGCTTTAAATAGAAGTTTGTTATTTGTACTTATTACATATGTATGATGACTCTTTCAGGAATGGCGCAGCTCTGAAATGGTGCATTATGATCTGATCTTTCAAATAAAAGTTTTCAAAGAAAGATCCAAGATGTGCTGAATACAAATCTTACTTATGACACACTAGGGAACATGTTGTCAGATGTCATGCTGTCAGATGTATGGGTCAACAAGGGGCAAGGTTTCTTATACTTCTTAGAGATCAATTCCTGTAATTGCATTGATCTCTAAAAGAGAAAAAAAACAGGGCCTGTTGTTAAGGGCCAAGTCGCACTGTGTTGCGGTAACATTTATGTTTTATCACGCGTCTCTACAACACATGGTAACAATGTTCCTAGCCATCACACCACAATGAAGATGCGTTTTATCGCACTGCAAAGCACACGTAAGGACTAACTATGCTTTGTGGTGTGTTGGAAAAAATGCTACATTTATGGGTGTTCACAGTCCATTCAAAATGAATGGGCTGCCTTAAATTGGACCTAAACTCAAACAGCAAAGATATGCTGCGTTATAAGAAATAATAGGGACCTGCAATTCTGTTTATTCTGGTGGGGGGCAGAATTTAGGGAACCTCAGTATGCTTCATTGTTTAATTCAGAATAATCTTTCCAGAGCACTCCCAGAGCTTGACACTTTTATAGCTGTTTGCACAATTGGTGGATCTAATATCTGTTTTTATTTTATGAAGACCTGAGTCATGGCTCATGACAAGTACACAGGCTTACAGGATTAAATGACTTGTTACACGATGCTATGTAAGACTTATGCATTTGTACATCACCGCTTACAATATCTTCTATTCTTATTTATTATACCATTTTAATCTCTTCTCTTTGAGGAATGCTGAGGATTTCTGTTTTCAAGGACCTACAGTGGCTAACTGCAAATCTGAACCTTCTTCTACTCAGTATTGCAAGCCAAGGTACGGACCTTCTTTTATCGAGCTGAAGTAAGTAATCAATGGACTACAAGTTTGGTGATGTCACCGAACTTGTGCTCTGTTAAGAACTACTAGTCCCTCTAGCACAGTGGCAGATGGAACTTGAGGTTTTTCCATTCTGAATTCCTATGAATGGGTGACACATCTGTGTAGGCTAGGCCACACACAGCCATGCCAAGTTAAAAAAAATACAGAAGCCTGTGGGGAGAAGAACCCAGTGATTCAGGTAAGGGGGAAGGGCAGCAGAATGGCACCATGTTCATGTTACACCCTAAATATGGATGCAACATGACACATGGTATTCAAGGTGGAATTATCCTTTTTTCCATTCCAAAGCAAGATGACAGCACCTTCTTCCTAACTAATAATTAGTCTTTCTTGATTTATGAGTAAATGCTGCATGTGTAAAAGCACGATTGATATCTGATCAAATACAACCTACAACATCACCACAAGACAATGCTTCCTTCACAAAATTTCACAGGCCAAAGGATAGGTAAAGGCTTTATTTGCACAATATATTCAAGTTAAGTAATTGTGTTATAATGGAGATATGTTCATTTTGGAAATGTACATTTAATCAAAGAAAATATATTTTAATTATTTAAGTTGATAAATCAAATTAACAACACAAGGCAAACTCTGTATACATTTTCACTTCTTCTTGAAGCCACCTTTAACTTGTACTGATGCCTTTTCACCAACGTCTTTTGCAGCCTGGCATCCTTTGTCTATAGCTAGAGAGGGAAAGGATTAACAGAAGCAGGGTGACTACAAATAACAATATAGAGTATACTCACACAGAGTTAAATAGCAAAACAGAAACAATGACAGCAAGTCAATTATGTTGGAAATTTACAGGCCTATTCACAAAAGGGTGAAGAGTTTGGAGAATGCAGGAGAAGTGAACAATCTAGGACAATATTGCTGAGCTGGAAAGTGAGCTGAATTGGAGAATTTTTCCAAATCAGCTATTTTGGCCTAGATTGTTCACTTCTCCTGCCTTCTCCAAACTCTTCACCCTTTTGTGAATAACCCTGTTAGAATCTGTGGCACGTTTCGTTGTTCAAAACTGAAAAATAAAAATGAGCTTGGGTTCCATTTAATAAATAGCTTAACCATAACCTTTGCATTGCAGTAACATATGTTAAAACCTACATTTTAAAGCAGAACTCCAGGCAAAAAATAATAGGATCAAATGAATAGCTCATTAAAAGAGAAAATACCAAAACCAGCTTCTTCCTCACACTCCAGCCCTGCTATAAAGGGACTACAATAAGCTGATGCCAGGTTTAATTTAAGTACCTAAACTGCTTCCATTAATAAAATACATTTAATGATGGATTAAATATTACAGAGCTGCATTATTTCTTTCTTTTATATCTCCCTGGAGTTAAGCTTTATTTGCGTTAATGCAAAGTAACGATCATTATATGTACATTCATTTTAAATATAATTGCAATGCACATGTACAATAGAATCAAACATACAATCCCACATTTAGTTTAATAATTTCTATTGAGATTGTAATCCATCATGGAAGCGAGCTTGGAGAGATGGCTACTTTACAACACACACAGTTTTAAAATACTTATACATAAATTCACTTCCAGTCAGCCATAAATGTTAAGGTTTTAGATATAACTTGCCTTCTTCAGCAATTTTTTTTCCCTCTTGTGCACACTCTTTGGCAGTGTCCTTTGCAGCATCTGTTCCTTTTTTCACTACAGAAAGTTAGAAAATAACATAAGAACTATATTTATGCACATTGTGTTTATAAATGTTAAATACAGTTAATATTTGTATCTTTTCTTTACATTTATATTCATCCAGCTTCCAAAGTATTCATATACAGTATTGGAAAGGTTTTCTTGCATCCTTACAGGATGTCTGTAATGGAATAAGGACTGCAAAGAGAGATTTTGCAAGGGGAGCCCCACTGCCAGGGGAGGTTTGAGATGATGCGCGGACCTATATGGGTTGGACTTGATAGACTTATGTCTTTATTCAACCCCAAATACTATGTAACTATATAGTTTCCCTGAGTTCAGCTGTAAAGTTGCTGTGCAGCATTCTAGTCTCTGCTGATGTTTAGACCAAGGCTAAAAGTGTTTTCGTTATTCCCATGTAACAGTGCCTGGCTGCGTGCAAGAACATCACGGGCCTGGTGCTGAGGATTTTGGTGGGCCTTTTTATGGAAATGGCGACGGTCACTGGGGCCCTCTTCCTCCTGTCCAGGCTGTGATTTGTAATCTCTCTACAGCTTGGAGTCAGTGGTGGAGCACCAGGACCCAGTTGCATCTGCGACCCTGGCAGATTTGCCACTGACTCCAAGCTGTAGAGAGACTAGAAATCTCTTAGAAATACATTATACATCAATACAGAATACCACCAACTATAGAGTACTACAAATCCCAGTAATACATTAAACAGGAATTCAGTAATGCATTACAGACAAATTCAGAATACCACCAGCTATAGAGGACTACAAATCCCAGCAATATATTGTAAAGCACTGCAGAATAATACCATCAGCTATAGAGGACTACAAAACCCAGCAATACTTTATACAGCAATGCAGAATAATATGAAGCTACATACTCTTTTTTGCTCCAGGTTCACAATCTGATGTCTCCAGGGTCTCCAGAAGAGCTGTGCAGGGTTTAGGGGGGCTGTGCAGGCTCTCAGGAGGCTGTTCAGGTTCTTAGGTGGCCAGTGCGGTCTCTCAGGTGGTCAGTGCGGGCTCTCAGCCGGTAGTGCAGCCTCTCAGCCGGTGGTGCGGGCTCTCATGCGGTAGTAGGGGCTCTCAGGCGGTCAGTGCAGGCTCCAGGTGGTCAGTAAGGGTTCCAGGCGGTCAGTGAGGGCTCCAGGTGGTCAGTGAGGGCTCCAGGTGGTCAGTGTGAGCTCTCAGGCGGTCAGTGTGGGCTTCAGGTGGTCAGTGCGGGCTCCAGGAGGGTCAGTGCGGGCTCCAGGAGGGTCAATGCGGGCTCCAGGGGGGTCAATGCAGGCTCCAGGAGGGTCAGTGCGGGCTCCAGGCAGTCAGTGTGTGCTCCAGGGGGGTCGGTGCAGACTCCAGGGGAGGTCAGTGCGGGCTCCAAGGGGGTCAGAGAGACTGGTGACTGCATCTGCGGCTCTTTTTTTCTTAACCTTTTTTTCAATAATAAATGCAGACAGAGGCATAACTAGAAACCTTAGGGCCCCGAAGCAATAAACCATAAAGAGGCCCCTTTAGACTCCCACCTCGACAGTTACTGGGCCCTCTTCTTTCTTTCTGGGCTCCCCCGAAGTGGCAGAATGCCAGGGCCTGGTTGCAGGTGTGACTTCTGTGACCCTGGTAGTTACGCCAGTGCTTATATCAGCTGAGCAGTACTGGGCTGCTGTAGTTGAATTTGTCACCCACAAGGAGGCACCCTCCTTTACACCAACCCCGCCTCCAACTTTTACTTCCCGCTCTCCTCAGCTGTGACATCACACCCTCATGCAACCCAGACTCCTCCCCGCAGCGTGTCAGTGCCCCATCCTCCGCTGACATCAGCATTCTCGCTTACCACCGCCAGACAGCGGTGGTAAGCGACTGTGCTCTACTCACATGGAGCCGGCGGAGAGGGCAAGGCGGGTGAAGAGCGTAGCCTAATGAGCGGAGAGCGTGCCGCCAGATAGCCCTCCCCCATCTGTCTTCAATTGTCATAGTCCCTTGGCAGTTACCAGGCACTGAGGCGGGGTGGGCCGGACCCTTTCTTTCAACACGTGCGACCGCTGCGACCCTGGTAGTACCGCCAGTGCAAGCAAATAAACATTGCCCAGCAAAGTATTTCTTTATATGTATGCCCAGACACTTACAGTCATCAAGGGAGATGCTTGCCCTGCTGTGCCTCTGTGTTTGTGGAGATACCCACTGCTTACTAGCACACACAAAGGTGGCCCTATAGGACCCTGCAAGGGAAAGGAGTCACCCTAAAACAAGATATCAGGGCCAGTGCTCAGGGGACCATTTAATTCTGCAGGAAACTAAAACTTTTCAACATCAAGGAGCAGCATCCATTATAAGAGATTTAATCAGCGTTTAAAATATCTTACAAACCTTTTGACTTAAATATCACTTTTTAAGTTACATCCCATGAAAGCTCATAGTATTTAGGTTTGCATATATGTGTTCACAGAGAGATTGATGCCTTGGAGCGTAGTTTGGTAATAGACTTGTAGCAGTTGAACATTTTTATATAACAAAAGTTATTGTTCTCTATCAACAGCAAATATGTCAGCTAAAGTCAAAGGTGTTTGGATGCTTTGCTAGTTGTCATCAGAGCAGGTACTGTCTGTGAAGAATACACAGGTAAGATCATGTACTTTGTGTTCAGTAGTACATCTGGGTGTGGTGAAAGGGAGTGTTCCAGCAGGTATGACATGGGTGGAAGGATCAAGAGCCTCTTCCATTACCTAGATCTGGGTGCGGTTACACCTGCAGAGAACGCTCAAGGCAAAGCCTGATTCCTGAGGGCACACCCTAAACAAAGGCAGCGGAGTGTACTGCTGACAAATTTATGTTGTCATTACTGTCAATATACCAGACTGTGATGCAAACCTCCAAAACATTGACAATTTTACCCTCCATAATTGTGCCTCAAAGGGTTTCTCAAAAGAAAAATGACCCTAAGCATACCTTGGCAGCAACACAATTTATCAAATGATAGATAGAAATATATCGTTTTGATCATCATTCAGTAGATAGGTATCTGTACTGGGTTTGCCTAAACATTGTAACTGTACTTCTCTCTATAAATTTGGATTCAGGACCATTCCTGACGATCACATTAAAAAAAATCAGGCATGGCATTTCACAACTACCCCAACCTGCCTACAGATTGTGCAGAGTTCATGTCTGCAGAACTTTGGCATTCTCCTTGAAGGCTGGTATAACTGTTATGTAATTTTTTTTATTGTGCGTTCTAGATGTGTTTTTTACATGTGATGTGAAGGATCACTTTGAATGGAAACAAAGCACGATGATTTGACAAGTACAAGTACATGCATTTAGCCTAGTGAGCTAACAACTTCTTATGTGAATAGGATCTTATGTCGGAAGCCCTGTACTTTTTCTGCCCGTGATTTACAAGTTGTTACCAAAGGCCCTGACCAATGTAAACCCAAACGGGATAAAACATGCAGCAATTCACTTTGTTCATACCATATCTGCATTTTTGCACACTACCTTACATGTATGTTGTGAACATGGCACATAGAAAACAATTGTTTGTGGTGTGAAGAAAAAAGCAGCTCAATAGACATGTTATGAACAAGCCCTTAATGTTACACTTCAACAAAGGAGAACTTTTGAACAGAATGCTTCAGATGTGCTGTTTGCTTCATTAACTGCTGGGAATGTGGTTAAAAGCACATAGATCAAACATTATTGTTCATGATGTTAGATCCTCATGTTGTTTTTATATATATATATATATATATACACCCCAAAAAACCCAACTTTTTGGTATTGATCAAATTAAGCATTGAGGGGAATGAGGCAAATTAGACAAGTGATTGCAGGATCCATAGGAGGGTAAACTATTTGGTCTGATTTTGTAGTATTTGCTCTCTAAATAGGGTCGCTTACACTGTGAATAGGAATGTGTTGGTGGATCTTCAGTGAAATCAGTCTAACATCTACTCTGAATACACTAGATTT